AGTACTTTTATCTCATACATATTTCCATACAGATAATATCAATATAGTGAAAATAATTTTAATTGATAATAATTAAAAGAGGATACTCAATATATCAGTAAACAATACAATAATTTTTTTAAACTTCATAAATAGATTTATTGTTATTTATTATCTAATACAATCTTAAGTTATTATTCCATGAAATATTTTCGTATGCTTACGAGATCTTATTAAAATAGGCTTTGTAGATAATTCTATATATTAATATGATTATTTTTGTATTCTGTCCGAGTTTTTCTTCTTGTTTCGTGGTACGTATGATTTGTGTCGTGTAACTTCTCACTCATATTTAGTTTTGCGTCTTCTGATTCGATTGCTATGTGTTATATTATACTAGTAACTTGACTATATTCCTTAAAATTTACAATCAATTTTTTTGAATTATTGAATTATTGACTTATAGCAATCAATAATGTAATTTTGAAAAATTCTTCAGTTGCGTTGTTATGTGTTTTTTGTTATTTAATTTGATTTGGGATCACGGTGGGTCAGTGGGTGAAAGTCCAAGCTTCTGTGCAAGAAGGTCGTGGGTTCGAGCCCCGGAGATGTGAAGATTTTCAGAAATGAAATTTTCATATGTCTGTTACTGTGATTCCGGGGGTTCGGATTCCATCTTAAACTATAGGTCCAGTCATAATGCCTGCAAAACATTATTCTTCTGCGCTATTAAAAAAAATGGCCGGGAAGTTGAGCCTGCATATTCATGACTATAGGAAACCAAGACTAATACGTACAGGTACTTAGTTTACTTCTGCAGCGTTCGACGTGGACGTGGTTCTTGAAGTAACAATAATAATCACAATAATAAATACCATTTTTATTGTGAAATTAGCATCATGTTTGTACAACCGATTGATTTATTTTTTGAATAAAGAGCCTGATGAGGCTGGAAGACAAACCAGCGAAACCTTGGTAAAAATAAATTAAGTTGAGATAGTTTTTGTTTATAGTATTGGGTGTCACTCTCGTATTGCTTTGATTTATAATTTCGCAATATTTACTGCCTAATTCAATTTTTAACATAGGAATCAAATTCATTTTATTTATGTTAGCAATAATTGTTTTAGCATTCTTTAATTTTTCAATATATCTTTTGGTTATTTTTTTTTGTTGAATTGTGGAACGAAATTTGCGAAGTAATTTAGTGATAATCGCAACAGTTAAGTCATTTTACTGATACTCGTTGCAATGTCACCTCCCTCAATTTTTTCAATATTATTCTTTCGAATTGGTAAATTGTAAAGCGCCACTTACCTGTTTTTTTCATCCGTAATAATTTTTTTCTATTTTTCACATCACTACAAATACTTTTTTCTTTTGAGGGAATCCGAACCCTGATGCATTCGGTTGAACTATACTATTTTCTAATTTTGGCTTATTTTTGAATTGAAGTCACATATTTCTTTTCGTGTCCTCAGAATCAGACGACATTTTACTATTTATTAAAAAGAATGGTATTTGACTGTAAAACGTTATTTAAAATGAAATAAATACCTTATTTCTACCGGAATTACTGTTGTCTTCACCCGGTTATCAAGACTTATAATTTATATAATGTTTCTATTTGATTATCTGATCTTATATTTTTAATACTAATTTATTTGATATTTGATATTCATTCTCTACTTGTTATAAAATGTTATTCTAATGTTAGGATTGCCTGATTTCTGTATTTTTCGGTGAATTGGTTATTTGTTGACTCAGCAATTTAGTTCACTTAGCACTCTTTCGACGAAATTGACAAAGTTGATAATAATTATACACATGCACTTGATTTCGGATTATTAATAAAAAAAATTGTTACTAGAATTTCAAACAACAATCAGCAATCAATTCTTAATCAGTCGTAATTATGTGAAACGTACTTTATGTAATATCGATTTAGTGCAATATAATTTCTTAGTAATACGAATCCCATAGATACAAATTTAATATAATATAAGTACAGATTTAAGATGCTAAATATCATGACCGTACAAGAATTTTGAAGAGCTAATTCAGCTGTCGCGCGTTGCAACTCAACTGCCGAAAAATCGAGCTGTCAGTAAGACTTTGATTTTTCGTAAATATTTTTTAGTAATCTAGCTAATAATAAATAAGCCAGCTTCGCTCACTCTTTGCTCCTTCTTTTTCTTGCTCCAGCAAATGGCCACCGCTTTTCAAATGAAAAAAATCAAGCGTAAATGCGCAAAGAAGTGATCACTGACAACAGTCAAAGCTGAGTTAGGTGCAGTTCACGGTGTATTTACCCCTGTGTTTGCAACTGTTTACAATTGGGTAAATGTATTTCAACAGGGCCGTACATCGACTGCAGATGAACATCGTTCAGGCCGTCCTCTAGACATGAGCACTCCGGAAATGATCAATAAAGTCTACGACATGGTATTGAGTGACCGAAGAATAAAATTGCGCGAAACAGTTGAAGTAACAGGGGTTTCAAAAGGTACAGTCATGCCGATTTTGTACGAGAAATTGGATATGAGAAAAATTTCGGCAAGATGGCTTGGGTGTCGCGTTTGCTCTCAGTCGAGAACAGATGCAGTCAAGTGGTGGCCGCTAAGATCATCTTGGCGCGCATCCATCATAATTTGGATTCCTGCGTCGATTTATGATTGTAGATAAAACAAGGCTTCACTAATACGGGACGAAAAAACACTTAAAATAGTGGTTTAAGAATGGTCAACCAGTTCCAAAGAAGGCGAAGATCGTGAAATCAGCCGGCAAGGTTATGGCCATTGTTTTTGGGATGCACGTGGAATTTTCTTCTTCGACTATGTAGTAAAAGGACAAATAATGACTGGAGAGTATTATGCGTTATTATTGGACCGGTTAAGCGAGAAAATTAAAAAAAATTGTCCTATTTTGAATAAAAAAATTCTGTTTCATCAAGACAATGCATAAGTGCACACTTGCGCAGTTTAAATGACCAAAATTGAGGAATGGAAGTTCGATTTAGTAGACCATTCACCGTATTCAGCAGGTTTGGATCCTAATGACTTTTTTTTTATTCTCGAACCTAAAGTGACTTGCCGAACAACAATTCATTTCAAACGAGGAGTTTATAATACAAACAAATAGCTATTTTGAGAATCTTCCAAAGTCAATTTTTGAAAAATAAAAAAAATCTACCCAAGAAAAATTGTAATTCTATCTTTTTCTAAGGACTTACTGACCAACCCTTGTAACTTACTAATTATGTAAAAACTTTTTGATGAAATATTAACATTTTATGGATTATTTTATATGTATGTATGCATAAATGTATGTATATACACTTATATACATATCTATATAAGTACAAAATTTTTAGAACGTCATAAATAAATCAGAATAGTATAAATTTTTGCATGGGAATTTAATATTTTTATATATAATATTTTATCTATTTCATGCTTTTACTTTTACAGGTCTAACATTCAGCTCAAGGTAGTATGAGAGTTATGTCAACCAAGACGAATCGTGAGACCTTAACTCATCGAAATTACCACATCGCAAGTGGTACAAATGGCAGATAACTAAGCAAATCTGCGTCACCTAAAGCAAGCCAACTTTCACTGAAGCATCGACGAACCTATTGCGTTGCGGATCGATTGAGCATGCCGTCTCAATAACAAGCGTCGCTCAACTGCGCAGATAAACACAGCAAAAACCAGATCAACTTGGCGGTTGAAAAAGGATTGTGAAGTAGTTAGATAACTAACTTGCTGAAGTTTAATTTAACAATAAACCTTCAATGGTTGTTGTCCATAAAAATAAAAGTAAACATAAAAGACGCAGAAAATTATCAGTGATCACGGCTGAGCAGAAGAAGAGAAATTGATTATGCGAGCTCAATGATAATTTGCACTGTTCCATAGGCTATTTAATGGAAATCAATGGAGATGACGAAGAAGAAATGTCATCACCGACGATTACAATCTCGTAGCTTTAGCGATTATATAATCGGAGGAATGAAGACGATAATTACCATCCATCTATTTCAGTAATTGATTACAAAATAAATTTTGTTGTACATTTTTTATATTTTTTATTTATAATAATTTTTAAATAAAATTTTATAAGTCTTTTTAGAATAAAGTGTATTTTTATCAATATAAAAATTTTCAATTGATCCAAAAATGCATACATTTAATACTTGACTTTTCCCCACCTAAACTACTTTTACAAAGTTCAGATTATATATGATCTGGAGTACTCATTTTGAAATGCACAATGTTATATCATGCTTAAAACTTACCGGGGTTAGGTGATCTAGGAATGCTGATTACACATGAGCCGATGGGATGAAGCACTCGGGAGAGTACGAGAGAAAGAGAGAGAGTGAAAGGAAGGCAAGAGCTCACCGTCAATCCTAGACATCGCTGACAATAACTATAATGGCAAGGAAATTGGTGTTGTGATGCATATCAGTGAAAGTTGATGTGTTATCTGCTGCAGTCGATGCGATAAGCTCGGCGCTGGTTGTTGCGTTGCTTCTAAAGCTGGTGGTAATGTGGTGTCTGAAGTTGGTGGCATGCTTCCCCTTAGGACCGGTTATTGCACATTAAATGGCTTAAAATATACTGGTGTTGGGCTACTGACAATGGCTCGCGACCGTCGAGTGCTTGACAAAGTCTTGTCGAATAAAGAGTATCAAAAACTATAAAAATGTGAAGTGTATAGAACTATCGATATCCTTCCTTTCTAGATTAAAAATGTATATCTTTGGCTTTTAAAATGGGACAAAAATATGACTTGAATCGTAGCTTGAAACTCTTTGGTATAGCCGTAATTTATGTTTTATAGAAGTTATAAATAATACTCATTTTCACTTTTATTGTTGATGAGTGAGTTATTTTCTTAACGAATAATACATGTATAAACTCTCTCAATTTTTCATATATACTTATCTATTAATTATAAATAAAACGGCAATTAATTGCAAAATTAATAAAAATTATTTTTGTTGGTTTTGACAGCACGTGAACTGAAGATCTGCACTGACATCAGCAGTGGTGGAGAGGTCTGCTGTTCTACAGATATGGAATTAAAAATGCAGATAAAAGCACGTGATAGACATGATAAAACAACTAAAAACGCGCTTCATAGACTCCAAAATGTATTACAGACAAGAGCCCATCGATTTCATGGTAATTTTCTTTACATAATTTAATAATTAAGTTTTCTTACAATAGATAACGATTTTGTTCAAACCGATTAGGGTGAAAAATTCTTTGATGTTATTTATTCGCCTAGAGTTTGCTGCAAAGTTGTAAGCTAGTAAGGTTATAACGCATGTTTAATTTATTTAACGTCGCTAACGTTCAATATGTCTTTTGGTGCAAGGCTAACCGTCGCCTTGATCTGCTGTTGATTTTTAATGGTATTGCTGCGCATGCGTTTCTTGTGGCTCAAAATTTATGACAAAATACGCATTGAATACGGGATAATTTAAGTTTATGGTCTTACTGTGATAGAGGATAGAATATATATATTGTGACGGTAAACGTCAAATTAGCGCTGATAACCTAATTTAATTGCTGTCTGGGAGGGCAGCACCCGTCGGGGGGACGAAATTGGTAACGAAGGAATTCGGCACGCGAGCAGACGGAACGCGCGCGATTGAAACCGAACTAGTGAAGCTTCGACTATCGTTGAGTCCGCCCGCTTTCGCTATCTCTATCGCCGATCCACGAGCCGTCAACATCAATACGCTATAGCAGCAACAGCCAGTTATCCGTGATCGTAGCCGCCAAGGTGCCATCCAGCTACTAGTTCGAGGCCAGGACGAGAGTGTGTGTGTGAGGTTTCGCCATCGAGGGCGAAACCATATCCGTGTGCGCGTGTTCGCGACCGGCGACAAACAATTAAAAACTGTTCTGCGCTGTGCGGTTCGTCTGTGTGTTTCCTCCGATCGCCTGTAATAATAAGGTAAGCTGGCCAGCTTAATTTCGCGATCGCGATTGCATGGTTAATAATTAATTTCCGATATCCGAAGCGTGCATTTAGCGGCTCTAATAACAAAGAGCAGCGAGCGTCCCAGCAATACGTGTTGTCGATGAGCGAGAGTCGATGTAAACAAACGCGCGGGCCGACTTTATGTAGCATTTGAGGAATAATAAAAGGTTTAGTTCGCATTGCTAACAAGTGTTTTTCGACTCACTTACACCTCATAGCTTCCACTCAATTTATTATAGGTTATTTACAATTACTGGTTGACGGACGCCTGTCTCCGCATGCTCTCCGGACTACATTTCGAGCATTGATAATTACATTCGCCCCTTCGATTTAATTACGCGAATAAAATATAAAATATATTAAACGGTTTTACCCCGTTACAGTATATCAACTTCGGCTTGAAATATCAAGTGTTAAATTAAAATGAAAACGTGTAAAACACCATAATATTTACGAATACCTTGGGGAAATAGGTTGATGGCCTTTATTTTACTGGGGTCAAAATAATTAGAATTGATATATACATTTCGGAATAATCTAATATAAGCAACGCTTGGGATAGGTTTTTACAACACAACAAACTCTATATATATCTTTATTCAACACTCTGACAACACTTTACAAAGTAATATAAAAGAGAGCAACTATATAGGTGCGCGCGCGACTTCGTTCAAAGAACGTCTGACGTAATCAACTGGACACGTGCTTTAGCATATTGAGTTATTCGTCTGATTTCTGATCGATGGCAGCACCTCTCAGAAATCACCCTAAGCTTTAATGTAATTCCAACACTCCCTCCCTTTGACAATTCAAAGTTAATACATTAAACTTCTATCAAATAAAATTGCAAGAAATACAAAAATATATATAATGCTTTTCTATGGAAATTTACTCTACATTTGTAACCAACAATATAAAAATTCAATATCAAAAACGGCTTCTCTTCTTCTACATTGGCTTCTCGTGTGTCTCGGTATGTCTATACCCTCAATCGTCACTTTCATCTGTGAACAGAAATACAACAAATATTACCTCAAATACGATAGCATTAGTAATATATATTATATTTATTTAGCAGTGCCTAAATTCATAATCTTGTCCTTAAGATATTTATGAGTTCCGAATGGCACGGGCTTCGTCATGATATCAGCTAAGTTCTCCTTGGTTGCAATCCATTTGACCATGACTTTGCCTTGATCCACACATTGCTTAATAAAATCTCCATGAGTGTCTGCCATGTGTTTCCGGATTCCAGTCCTTTCTCTCTCCAATAAACATGCGCAGATATATTCCAAACTGTCATCAAAACTTTTCAGTTTGTGACTCCCGCTCATCTCTGTGCAGTCTCTAGCTGATCTGTTGTCACACCATATAGTGACGGGGAATAGCGTTTTACCAATGACGTATCTAATAGATTTATCTAATGATATCAATTCTTGGCAAGCATCACTCATTGCCAAATATTCTGCTTGACAGGTAGAAAGAGTAACATAGGATTGTTTGCAGCTTCTCCACGCAACGATGTCTCCGAACAGCTTGATCACATACCCTCCTGTGGAAGTTGAGTCTTGAAAATCTCGAAAACTTGCATTAATCAGTGCTTCGAGAGTATTGGTCTCTGCTCTAAATGTCAAACCTAAATTGGTTGTCCCTCTCAAATATCTGAAAACCCGATTTACGTCCATCCAATCTTCTTCGGTGGGTGCTGTCTGCTTTCGTGCTAGATAATTTACCGCAAACGTGATGTCTGGTCGGATGGCATTTGCCAAATACATCAGACTTCCAATAGCTTCTCTATACGGTACCTTTTTCATGTCGTGTTCGGATCTTTCATGTTCGAGTTTATTATCTTCTTGTTTCGTTCTTTTATTTTTATTGTTTACCTGCCTTGTTACCATTGGTGTGTTCTGCGGTTTGCAGTCTTTCATGTTAAACCTTTCGAGAATACTTTCTGTATATGTGCTCTGATGGATTACCGTACGTTTTCCTTCTTTGTTTCTTTCAATTGTGATTTCCAGGAAATTCTTTGGTTCACCTAAATCTTTCATATCAAAAGCCTTACCTAGACATTCTTTTATCTCATTCAATTTATCTTCATCATCACTTGCAATTAGCATGTCGTCCACATACACGAGTACAAGTGCCATCTTTCCTTCTTTTCTCCGCGTGAACAGACAGGGTTCATGTAAGTCATTTTCCAAACCGAGCTTCCTAATCTCTTCCGAAAACCTTCTGTTCCATTTCTTTGGACTCACCTTTAACCCATAAAGTGCTCTTTCTAATTTACATACTTTGGTTTTTCTTGTGTCTGCATCCACTTCTACTCCCTCTGGTATCTCCATGTATATTTCTTCATCTAGTTTTCCATACAAGAATGCTGTTTTCACGTCCATTTGACAAGCATGTAGACCGTGTTTGTTGATGATGCTTAGCGCCGATCGAACTACCGAAAGTCTGGCAACTGGCGCATATGTCTCTTTTAGGTCATAAATGTTCTTATCTTTGAAGCCTCTAATTACTAATCTTGTTTTATATCTAGTCGTTCCATTTGCTTCTACCTTTCTCTTGAAGATCCATCTTGAATCGATGATATTTGCTTTCTTACCATCTATCATAGTCTGAGGTCGATCTACAAGTTTCCAAACCTTATTACGATCCATGGAACCGAGTTCTTCTTTCACTGCATCAAACCAACTTAGTTTTTGTTTACTTGAAATGGCTTCCTCGTAAGTTGCGGGATCTTTATTTATTTTCGCCAAGAGACAATGAATCTGTTGATCTTCGACATTTCGTCTTTCATCCTCTGATATGGATGATTGATTTACAGCTAAGTTAGCGAAACTAATATCTGCAACTGGGTGTGCTGTATGTGCTATTGCATTTTGGTCTTCCGAATTATTCTTTCTCTTTGCTCTGCTTCTTGTCAAAAGGCCTTGTTCTTCTATCTGTTTATTATTCTGTACTTGTTTTTCCTTCTGATTGATCTGTTTACTATTCTGTACTTGTTTTTCCTTCTGGTTGATCTGTTTACTTGGTCTGCCTCTCTTTTTGGGTTCTTTTATTTCTTGGTCTGATTTTGCTTCCTCGTCTTCTTCGAATGTTGTCATCCAATTCCAATCTTGTTTCAATTCTCCTTCTTTTGTGTTAGTAGAGCTGCTAATCGCACTTGACTGTTTGTTTCTATATACTTCCGAATAAACTAGTTTTTCATTAAACCTGATATTCCGGGTTTCTATCAATCTTCGTGAATGAGGATGCCATAGAATGTAACCGGTGTTTTTATATCCGACTAACACAGCCTTTACCGCTCGAGATGCGAATTTCGTGTTCGGTTTTGTCACTGTGGCGTATCCAATGCATCCAAACCTTTTGATCTGATCAAAATGACAGCTTGCTTCTGGAACATATCTTTTTAAAGGTGTATCATACTGTATTGCTTTATGTGGTGTTCTATTGTACACATGTGCAGCAGCTTCAACTGCTAGTTCCCACATTCCTTTCGGTAATCCTGAATCAAACATGTATGCTCTTACTTTTGTTTGAATAGTCTTGTTGAATCTTTCGGCTACTCCATTCTGTTCCGGAGTATATGGTGGTGCGAAGTCTGAATCAATGTTTTCTCTTTTCAATATTTCGATGAATTTTCCTCCAGTATATTCTGTGCCTTGATCTGACTTTATGTAACATACTTTTTCATTTTTACCTAGTAAATTCCTTGCACTTATCAGAAATTTTTCTAACGCTGCTCCAGCTTCACCCTTCCTTTTCAGAGTATATACTAAAGCAAATCTGGAATAATTATCTATAAATGAAATGATGAATCTCTTTTGTCCAGGATAGGATGTTGGCTTGATTGGTCCCATGATATCTGTGTGTATTACTTGAAGTGGCTGTAGTGCTCTATTCCTTGACGATTTGAATGGCAGCCTTTCCATCTTGGCCATTATGCATATTTCACATTCTAATATTGATTCATCAAATTTAACTCCTTGTAGTTTCTTTTCAATTTGCTGTAACTTTTTCAAATAGTTTAAAGATGCATGTCCCAATCTAACGTGCCACAACATTGCTTTATTACATCTTTCTGTAGTTTTCGGTTTTTCTTCAAGTGGATTCGTAACGAATATTTCTTCTATGTCTTCAAATTTTACCGTAGTATCTAATTGGATTATTTGTCTTGACGAATCATCAT